AGAATAGAATAGAATAGAATAGAATAGAATAGAATAGAATAGAATAGAATAGAATAGAATTATTTATTAGCCAAGTGTGATTGGACACACAAGGAATTTGTCTTGGTGCAAATGCTCTCAGTGTACATAAAAGAAAAGACATTCATCAAGAGTCAAGAATCACAACACTTAATAATACTCATTGGGTACAATAAGCAATCAAATCATACCAGGAAACAGTCAATATAAATCTTAAGGATACAAACGACAAAGTTACAGTCATACAATCACAAGTGGGAGGGGATGGGTGATAAGGAGTGATGAGCAGATTAATAGTAATAGTAGTGCAGACATTTTAAATAGTTAGACAATGTTGAGGGAATTATTTGTTTAGCAGAGTGATGGCGTTCAAAAACTGGGGAAAAACTGTCCTTGTGTCTAGCAGTTCTGGTGTGCAGTGCTCTGTAGCATTGTTTTGAGGGTAGGAGTTGAAAGAGTTTATGTCCAGGATGTGAGGAGTCTGTAAATATTTAGTTGTTTATTTAATACTTTGTTAATTGCACAGTAATAGGATTTTAAATTATAACATATAAAGTACTGACATTGACATTGATCCTACAGTTTCTTTATACTTATAGAAACAGATTTTCTGATTTTTTTTTTGACTGAATGGAAACTTTCCTCCTGAGAAGAAAAGAACCTTTTAATCAAGACTATAATATCCAATCCTTTCAACCTAGCTTATAACAAATATCAAAAGCAAAAGAAGAAACATTTTTAAAAATGAAAGAAACCAGGTTTAACATTGGGAATGTAAACAACACTAAGTGTAATGTAATATGTTTATGTCTGATGTACTGAGTAAACTTGTAAACCCCAATAATCATAGAATAGATTGGTGTTATTTAAAGTGAAAAACATTTTCACAATTGGAGTCCCAAGTATTCTGAAAGTATGATGTTCAAGACTGGTACTATATAAAATTGCCATCATTATAATTAAATAGTCTAGTGATCATCTACCATGGCAAGGCATTTTTAGATTAGGGACCACACCTTTTCTTCCTTCCTTTGGGCCTACAAAATGTATACCTAGTGACACTCTTTTTTTGGATGCATAATTAATAAACACAATAGCCCCTGCCTTCAGAAATCCTGATTTTGCATCATATAATATTATTCTAATTTAAATAAAGATTCTGTGATTTCTAATTCAAATTAAACTGAATATATATCTTCATTTTTCTATACAATTATTTTTCAGAATACATATTTCAAGCTTACCGGAGATCCAGGCACTCCTGGAAATCCAGGATTACCTTTGGAAGAACTATAACCTTTATTGAATCCATTTTCAGAAGTTCCCTTAAGAATTAAATGAAAAAAACAACATTCCATTGATCAGAATGGCAGAATTAAATGTAGCAAACATATTTTGATTAACTGTTTAATGGTAATTAGATGATATGAAAGAATGACTAACTAACTAATGATTAACTAACTAAACTAATCAAGGAGAGAAGCAACCTAGAACTAAGGAGAAATTTCTTGACAGTTAGAACAATTAATCAGTGGAATGACTTGCCCTCAGAAGTTGTGGGTACTCCAACACTGAGATTTTTAAAGAAGAGATTGGACAGCCATTTGTCTGAAATGTTATAGGGTTTTCTGCCTGAGCTTGTTTTGAGGGCTGGACTAGAAGACCTCCAAGGCCCCTTCCAACTCTGTTATTCTGCTACTCTGTTATTCTATTCTGATTGGTAAGAGAAAACCAGAGATCTTATCATTTCCCTTGTTCACTCTTATTCCTTTCATTCACAACCTGCCTGAAAACTTCATGAGATTAATGAACATTCTTGTGAGCGAATACCACCACAAAGAAATAATATTGTACCAATGTTGTAAATGTAAAGCTATCTTGTATATATTGTGTTTACTCCCTCCTCCCCCACCCATATTTTATTGGTGGGCAACAACAAAAAAGCACACCAACAGAACTTTGCACAATCAGTATAAAGCTGTGTCCCTCATGTTGAAATTGGTACTTAGACTAAGGAGATTCAGAGTTAAATTCCCATCCATCCATCCAGTAAAGCAGCTCAATTATTCTATTTCAAGGCCTTTTTTGCTATGGGGATAAAATTAGGATTGGTTCCCTTGAATATTGGTTTCTGCTCCCAGAGAAAGTGTGACATAATAAAGAATAATATTGATAAAATGATAGCAAGATTGAAAAAAACACTGAGCAGAATACAGTAATATAAGAGGCAAAGACTTAGTGTAAGGAAATGAAAACCATGTCTGTAGGGGGACCAAGGGGGCAAGTGACAAACCATGGGTTGTGAATGTCCCAACAAAAGCTACAATTACATGCAACTCAATCCCAACAAACTACAACTTCATGCAATGTCAACCCCAAGTAAGGAAGGATAGGGTTCATATCATTATTGTGGACTCATCCTAGTTAAGAATGGATACCTATGTTCCTAGGCTACTGTCGATTATTATTTCACTTCTTTTGCTTAAATATCTTACCTTTTCTCCTTTGATGCCCTTAGGACCCTAGATAGAGAGAAACACTTTATAAAACCATCATATGGAGAGAAAAAAGCACATTTTTAAAACAGGGACATAGATATCTAGTGAAATATTCAAAATTGCAAAGTATCTCTAACTGCTGCAAAAGACCACTGGAAATGACAAAACTATAGGAAATGAGAAAAATAAATCATTGCCTAATTAATTCTATATTTATGACTGGTCAGAAGTAAGCAGCCCTGAGAATGGTGTTATCAACAGTATGCTGGCCTCTGTCAATTCTCTCTTTGTTCCCCCTAAACTTGTTCACCTCACTTCATTCATGGTTGGCTCAGAAATTTTGGGAGTTGAAGTCCACAAGTCATAAAGGGGCCATAGTCCCCCACCTCTGCTCTAGAGGTTTAGGAAGTCTCTTCTATTCTTATATTCAGAGGAACTGTGAAAGCCTTGATATTTCAATGAGTTTTTGGCTCCAGTTCATTGATGCACAGCAGTTCATACCTGCATATTTTTGCTTCCTATATCTTGAATTATTGTCTTATCATTTATATACTCTTGATTGTGTATTGCTTTGTTATACAAGGTTCAGTATGATAGGTTTGGATGATTAACAATTACAAGAAGAAAATAAAGGTGTTTTTTTTAAATGAATTTTTTAAATGGCATATTTGACCAAAACTTACTGGTAATCCTGGAAGTCCCCCCGGTCCTAAGAGTCCTGGAAAACCTGGATCACCCTGGATGAAAGAGAAGATGGCAAGAAAGGAACTCTCAAGGGTCTCTAGATAGCATGCTCTGTTACTCCATGTGCACATCCTATTCCAAATGCATCAGAGCTAATATTTTACTCATTTTACAACTTGCATCTTAATGTAACGCTATTCATTTCTGTTTCATTCTTACCTTTGTTCCATTGCATCCTGGTATACCTGGAGATCCATGAGGACCAGCATTTCCAGGTTCACCCTGAAAATATTTACAAGATTGTCAAAGTAACCATTAATACAATTTCAAAGATCTCAGAGTATACTTATGACTTTGGCAGATAAGTTGGCTTGTAAGAGTTGGATGTAATACATATATTCTTCTGAAAAGTTAGACATAGAAATAATAAGATGCTTAACTAAATGCAAATATAAAGATTGGTTCAGTAAATGTTGTTATACTTACCGGAAGACCTGGAGGACCAGAGTAACCAGGAACTCCTGGCTTACCCTAAGGATAAAACAATAAAGGAAGAGAAAAAAACATTGCATTAAGAATGAATTTAAAACTGAATCATTGGATGTCATTTTAAAATACAGGTAGTCTTGATCTATAGCAGTTCATTTAGTGACCATTTGAAATTACAACAACACTGAAAAAAGTGACTTATGACTGTTTTTCATACTTACAATCATTACAGCATCTCTGTGGTCACATCAAAATTCACATGCATGGCAAGTGACTCATATTTATGACAGCTGCAGTGACTTGAGATCATGTGATCACCTTTTATGACCCTCTGACAGCAAGCTTAACGAGGAAGCCAGATTCACTTAGCAACCATGTGCACAGCTACAGTGATTAATTTAACAATTGTGGCAAGAAAGATTGTAAAATGGGGAAAATTATTTAACAACTATCTCAGCAACAGAAATTTTGGGCTCAATTGTGATCATAAATTGAGGACCACCTGTAGATTAAACAGATAGTTCATTCATTCCAATTATTATTAAAATTTCTTAGAATCCTTTAAAAGGTGCCAACTGAAGTTGCAAGCAAAATAGTCATCATCTCCCATGGGTCGAACCCTCCAGGGAAAGCTCTCTTGATGTCACCTGATAAAGAGTCACTGTTTGGAGTGCCTATGGATGATCTCCCATCTTCTTATCCAGAGAGATTCCAAACAGATGATCTACTCACCAGTAGATCACAAGTACTCACTTTTTTGCCATATTCATTGACTCTGCTTTTGCAGAGCCACCATTTCTTCCTTGGAAGCATTTCATTGCATTTAGTCTGTTACAATTTAATCGCATGTGGAATGTGATCAACTTTTGATATTGTGCCAATTATTTTTAAATGCTGATTATTATTTTTAATATATTATAATGAAATACCAACCCTTGAACCTTTAGCTCCAGCAGGACCTACTGGCCCCGAAAAACCCTAGAAAATAAAGGAAATAAAATAAAGGAAATAAAATAAAGGAAAGTAGAATTAATTGGATTAAAATATTATCTTTATGCAGAAAGCTCAGTCTAGCCAAAAGAATCAAAATTCATTTATTTATAGACTATTTACGAGTTCATATCACATTTGAGTGAGGTGCATTTCTGAAAGCATACCACAGAAGTATGGTGTATTTTAAACGCTAAGCATGTACACTTTATAAAGTGGTAGACCAATTGAAGATGGGCATTGTCTTCTCTTTGCTCTATCTAGCCTAGAAATGAAATGTTAGACTTCAGGTCCATTGTCAAGCTCATATATAAATGGAAATGGCGGAATAGAAAGTGAAATTTCTTGTACATCTAGACTCCTCTGATATCAACAACGTTAGGAACAAAAAATCAGATCCACACGGGAAGAGTTCAACTGGCTATTTTATTATGGGGGCCTTGATACTCTTTGAGCTTGCTGGTTTTCTTGCAGATGTTCCATTACCAAACTAGATAACATCACCAGTGGCAGCCCACAGTTCAATCCTAAACTATAAATATTATCTTCTATCAGCTATTTTACTGCTCAAGCTTATAATACAGGAATCTTCTCAGATTATCAGTTTGCACCTGGGCCAGACTTAATAAGATTCAATGATATTCAAGGTGGGGGGGGGGGGTAGGACTTTGTCCTCTTGGGCCCAGATAGGGGTTCCCTGATAGACTCCTCCCCATGGCTCATGGCTTTGGCAATGAGCTATGAATACATAAACATTTACTTTTCAGCATTATCTAAAGAATCAGTAATTCACTCATTGATATGCAATCATAGTAGATTATAAGTACCTTAGGTCCTTGTGGTCCAGGAGGGCCCTCTGGACCCTGGAAGCCCATCTGACCAGGTAGACCAGGGTAACCAGGAAAGCCCTTTTCTCCCTGTAAACACAATCCATTTAATACATTATTTTTAGTTATTCTACAAACTTGGAATAGTGCTATTCATTGTGTAAATTTCTGGAAATTGGTTTTCTTCATTAAATATATACTCATGTAGATAATAAAAATACACACAGGCAGAAGATCTCTATATCATCAAATAAACTGGAAGCATTCTGCTTTGTATAATCCATCACATAAATACATGAATATGTGTTCTGTCTCACCTTTCTTCTTTCCAAAAGATGAAAGAGTACAAACTCACACAAACACAGGCAGGCAAGCTGGCTCAGACTTCACAGAGTTAATTCTTTGGAACTGATAATGTCCTTAGCATTCCAACACGCTCTGCCTGCCAAGTCCGAACTGATAACAAGTAAAAAGCTACTTCCAGAAAATTACAAGGCAGACCATAAAATCATTCACAAAGAAAACCTGAAGCAAGATTAAACTTTGTCCCATGCAAAGTTCCAGCCGAAAACACACCCACTTTTATCCCCTGTGGAGTGTGGCTCAATGACTCAGCTCACTCTCTGACCCTCCCATGCCTCCTACGTTGCTGCTCACGTTTCTCCCTATGACACTGCTTAGGATCAAGCCAACACTCTTCCTCTTGACTCCCTGTCAGGGGCTGCTCCGATATGCCTTCCTCCTGATTAATCTCAGGCTGTTCCTCTCAGTTGTCTGATGAAACCTGAGGCATTATCAGGGAGGAAGGCATTGCCAGAGAGGAAGGTCCTGGGGAGGAAGGCATTCCCAGTTCCTCCTCCTCATCTTCCGAGTCCTCTTCCTCTAACAGCACAGGCTCGGGAATCGGAGCCACAAGAAATATGTATATGTGAAAACTCATGTCAAAGGAAGATGCAGTCCTTAAAATGGTTGTACAGGAATGTGGATAGATTGGAAATAAGAAGAATTTCATTAACTTTCATTACTAGGTAGATAAAAAATATCCATGACATTCATGATCCATTCTAAGAAGAAGCCTATTAAAAATAAATTCAAGACTAGAGCACCAAGCAGAATTCAACCAAGAAAGATCTATAATATTCCAAACAGAATATTGCATGGTCAGATGTTCTCATTTCAAGAGAACATCTGACCAGAATCAGAAAGATAACACCTCTACTGTTAAATAGACTGAGTTGTGAACCTCCTTATTATGGAGGTTCCTAATGGATCTTAATACATTTTTCAGTGCAAGAAAAGTCTAATCACACAGTGAAGAAAATAGCATCCATTGAGAATTTCTGGTAGGATCAAAGGAACTGGTTGGTGAAGAGCTGGTTCTGATATAAAATAATAAAAGCCACTGTACCACAATGTGAATGCTTTCATGGTCTCTGTTGCTCTCTACCTGGGACTTCTAAAAACATGGCACCTCCCTAAGTATTATGGCTGGATTTGGCTGTGGAAGATATTGATTGGTTTAAACTATTATGTGCCAGCAAATTAGTCTTGACTCAAACACCACATAGAGAGAACTTCTGTAGAATACCCTTTCCCCAGTGGGTCCCCTCAATCCTCCAGTTGTGCACTGATCATTGCCTTCTCTTGCACTTGCATGAAATGAAACATTTGCCATTGTAAGTAAAGAGACTATCCACCTCTAACTCCTTCCCACTATATATCGTGCCTGGTTGCTTTAGCTGGGCAACTGGGATGACCCCATATAGGAATCTATACTCCCAGGATTCTTTCCTCATTATTCCTAGTGCTTCCCCTCCCTGTAATATATATGAAGCAGCATCAAAGGACTTTGGGGGGGGGATATTTTTTTCCATTAGAGCCTAATTTTGTTTTGGGGGTTTTGATCGATTTTGTTTTGTGTTTTGCATGCAACTAAATTAGAGGTACTTTCAATCCCCTTTTTCTTCCAATTTTACATATTTAATGATTTCAAATTCACTAAGGGTCCTTCTTTGAATGTTTGCATGCTTAGCTAATTTTGCTTCATCTTTCTGAAATGTTTACCTATTTAATTGCCATTCAAAGAAGGGCCCTTAGTGAATTTGAAATCATTAAATATGTAAAATTGGAAGAAAAAGGGGATTGAAAGTACCTCTACTTTAGTTGCATGCAAAACACAAAACAAAATCAATCAAACAGAATGCCCGTTCAATTGTCTTGCTCTGCTTCCTTAATATGATATGATTTGCCCATAAGTCAATATTATAAATTAGATTTCCATCATTTTTAAATGCCCATTTTTGGTTGAATGTCTGCAATATATGGAAGCTGTTTCACCAGCATAGCAATGTTGTACATTGATCCCATAATGTGGATTTAGAGTTGCTGTGGTATTTTGCTAAATTAATGTGCCTGCTCAACATTATTATTTTCTGCATTTATTTTTGTATATTGTGCTATCCCAGAATTCACCACTTGGGGGTGTATGTTATTGTCCCCAGCAGACAAAAACCATTCTTCTGCAATAAAGCTTCCTAAAAATAGTTATTTGAGAAACTAGCAGTATAACTTAGAACATTATTTAAACCTACTTTTAAATTTTTGAGGGTTACCTCCATCATCATGCTTTAATCTGTACTGCAAAACCTTTTTTTTCTTTTATTAACACCTTTGGTGACTGAGAACGATAGTTGGACTTAACCACGTAATGTCTTTCTGGTCATTGAAAAATTCCCCTGCTGAAAGGGGAATTCAGAGAAAGTTCAAGCAATCAATTACTTTAGTGTGCTTGCTAACCAATATACCTTATTTTTTTCTTCTTCTGTGAAGAAGTTGTTACGATAATAATTCTCCACAAGACTGGAAGAAATCCAATAAAATCCTGACTTCAAAGATGGTGTCAGCCCCACAAGGCAGACAAGACCAAGAAGCCAAGAAAGCAATGCCATGTAGGTCTAAAGCTAGTCTAATAAAACAACTATAGTAACAGAATCTTGCAAGCCTATACGTGCTTCACTCCCTCACTTCATTGCCATATGAATTAGGAAGGGGCTCATCTGAGACATTTTCTCAAATAAGTTTCTTAGAAAGGACTCAAGCCCTGCTTGTCTGATCATCACTTTAGTAATAGCTCTAGGAACCATCCTTCAGGGTTATTGTCCTTACTCTTTACAGATGGAAACTTAACCTGTTGCTATTGAAGACAGCCTTTTTCCTGTTGGGTCCATCCAGTGGTGGGCTGCAACCGTTTTAACAATTGGTTCTGTGACCATGTGCGCAGCATTCAAGATACAGCAATTTGAAGTTCAACTGCTTACCTCCTAGGGCAGCCCTGGTAAGTAGAACAGCTGAGGTGTGGAAAACAGCTGTGCCCCACGAATCAGCTGATCCAGAAAGACGGAAATATAGGACAGGATAGGATGGGTGCAGATGGGTGGGGCCAGCTGATGGTTGGAACTACCTGTCAGCATTCCAGCAAACCTCCATTCCAATCAGTCACTCCAAGACAGGCATCATCTCAAAAGTACCTTTATTAGAATAGCACCTGACCATCTGTGGAATCTCGAAACTAAAAGTTTCCTGGACTTCCCACAATGTCCCAGACTACAAACCATCCCCTTTTCCTTCATCATCACATCACATGAACCAATCCCAAAGTAAGTTCCTTTTTGTTTCTGTGCCACACTCTATGATCTTGAACTAACAAAAGAATTTTATTTTGTTTACTAAGAGCTACTCAATTAAAATCACCCCCTCCCACTTTCTCAAGCTATATGGCAGTGTTGAATAAGGTTTCCAAAGCTGACACTACTAGTTTGCTAAAACCAATCTGAACCAGCAGCAGCCCACTACTGGGTCCATCTTTTTATGACCAGAAAGGTACTTCACCATAAGGCTACCTATTATTGTGCCCCCTGCCAATTCTGCAAATGTTAAATACTGTTTTAAAAAATACTTGGATTTAATTGTATAGCTTAAAATACAATAGAGTAAATAATACTGTTTCATTTAATTAATGCTTCTTATACATCCAGTTGCAGTTCTCTTCATTTTTTTTTTTGGTCAATAATACATTTTTCTTCTTTTCTAGCAAAAGGACATTGCTATTTATGTGTAAGAAATCCAATTTTTATATAGCTCTTACCTTACTGCCTTTTATTCCATCACAAAAGCATTGGTTTTTGCTGTTGCAGATACAGTTCTAAAAAGAAAATACAGTGATTATCATTTATATTCTCATCAAATATTTGCAAACCAAACAACTTTTTCTCCATGTTGTATGGTTTCTTCATTCAATTTCATTGTACACATGTTGTGCATTGACAACAAAGGTTTGAACTTGAATGTGAACTTATATTCCTTACTGGATGGTTCCATATATTACTAAACCTTCTTTTGCACAACTCTTTTTTGTTTAATAGTTTTCTGGATTTTTACACCATCCTTAGCCATAAACATGATATATCATACCATAGTATAGGAAAGAAAATGGGTGCAGGGAAAAGTAGCAAGTTCTAAAACATGCTGTATGTCAGGATTCCAGCAATCGCTCTAATTAAATCATGATTCTCAAGCCAAACTTCAAAAAACTTCAAAGGATCTATTAGAGGTGACCTAATGGCACTGCCTCGGACTGGGTGTCATCATTCACGAGCAAAAGCTCTGATATTTTAGTTACAATCCTTTAAAGATAAGAGTTGGAATGTACTTTCGCTTTCAAACTGCTGCATTGCTCTTCCAGATTTCCTTCCTCCCCTCCCTTTTTTTAATGGCAACTACTAAAACAGGCATAGGAATGTTTTATGAGTTGACACTGTAGGTGAAAAGCCATGGGAAAACACAAAAAAAAGTTTCTTCCATAATCCACTAACTCTGCAATGGGTGCAAAGAACTCTCTGTGTTGGAATTTATCAGTAAGAATATTAGCTTTCTAGTTCATCAACTGTACTTGTTGCTGAAGCAACACTTGGGATTCACATCTCTTGGAAATTATTGGTCATTTTGATGCTTTATCATCACTAAGCAGATCATACTCAGTTATAGATCTCCACCCTTGTCAGTAGAGAACAATTCTATTCAGGTGCCTTGTGGCTGTAAAAGCCTGGGTGGAAAGGAACTATCTAACTCAATCCCACTAAGATAGAATGTAATGGGGTTTGAGGCCTTCTAGATCTTTGACTCCTGATGGCACTCCTACAGATAGGACTTCAGTCCAGAATTTGAATACACCACAAGAAAATATAACTGTTTCTGTCACACATCAGGACTGAGTATTGGCTTAAGTTCATAGAATATCTTAACATTAATTATGTTCTTTAAAGATTTGTGAAGACAATTAACTAGTTGAGATTTGGGGAAGTAAATATTAACAAAAACCCAAACCCCATCGTGGCTTTATTCCTTGCTAGCTGACAAAAGTGTAAAATGGATAAGAGGCAAGGGTGGGGTGCTATGGGTTCACCTGGGTTTGGGAGAACCCGTAGCTAATGTTATGGCTGGTTTGGAGAACCGCCCAAACCCACTGGCTCCGCCCACACCACCCTCCCCTCCCAGGAGTCTCCACGCAGCCCGTTTTGGATGTGAGATAAGTGTAGGGCCCACACGGAGGCTCAGAGAGGGTGAAAAATGGGCCTCCCAGAGGCTCCAGAAGGCCGGAAATGGCTTCCGAAACCAGGGGAAGGCAAAAATGCCCCTCCCCCCACTGTGGTGCAGGAGGCTGACTAGGCCACACCCACCATGGCCACGCCCACCCAGCAACCAGGCAGAGAACCCATTGCTGAAATTTTTGAAGCCCACCCCTGATAAGGGGACATATCTATAAAATATAAGTTTTTCTTGTTTTCCTTTTTATGTTTCTTTTCTCCACTTTTTCTCTTTCCTCTCATAAAGAAATAAAAAAAATGAAACCTTGTATTATATCAGTGTTACAAATTTGGGCATAGCAGACCTACATAAAACTCTAATTCTTTGCTGGCACCTAATTACTATTGAAACACAGTATTGAATTACTATTGAAACACTGCAGCACAGATAAGTTGCTCTCTGATGGTCTACAGTTGAACCTTGAATGCCTTAGAATTTCACACCTTGAATAATAGGTTGTCAGAACATCCGATTGCCAACCTTTGGTTTGCTTGTTGACCTTGTTTAGACTTCATCTTTATATTGTTCTGCTAGCCCAAGAGAGCTTTTGTTAAGCAGAAAAGGAAAAAGGGTGTCCATGAAAGTTGATGCTTTCATGGATACATCTATATAATTTTCTTAGCAACAACAGGTCACTGGTTTACCAACTGCATTTTTTCTAGAATTTTTTTAACTCTCTAATGAAGTCTAAAGTCCTGGTATTCCCTGGAAATCTCCCAGGCAGGCCTGCCCTTGCTTAGCTTTCAGATCAAATCAGGCAGCAGCCACCTGCTGAGACAAGCAGAATATAACAGAATTCTTCAACTTGATGCTTTCCAGTTATATTAAACTAGATTTAGCCACCATGTTCCAACACATCTAAAGGGTCACAATCTGGAGAAGGCTGATACTTTAACAATATAAACAATACAGGAATAATTTATGCAAACAAGATGACTATAATATTAGAAACATAGTCCTTTGTTCAACTACCAAGTTGAATGTTACATTATCGGGCTAGCTCATATCTATAAATCTGCAAAATGTAATTATTTGTCCAATTCTCATCTCCAGCACTCTTTCTTTTCCCTCCCACTTTTCATTTTAACAGGCAACAGCAAAGATAGTCAGCAACAGCTAGCCACCCAGACAGACACAGATAGACAGGTCTGCTTTCCTGCCTTTCTGAAGATAATCTGGACATGCTTAGACAGAAACTGCAATTGCACTTGGCATAGTTTCCTAGTATATCTAAGATGAGTTCCTCAGAAAGCATCTTGTGTAGGACTCACTCAATCTGCTTATTCAATTGATTTATTTTGATAAAGTTTCATAACATTTTTGTCCTAATAGTGTGCAAAGTTGCCAAGAGCAAACTAAAATAAAATGCAATGAAAATATAAACCAGATTCTGTAACTGAATCAGTAAAAGAAAATTCAGTCTGTGGAACAAAATTCACATTCAGATTAAATGCCTTTCGTTCTTTGGCAGAATGATTTTTTTCTTGGCTTAATTTAATATTTAGAGCTTGAAAGATAATGGGTGGGTGTGTTGGGCACACTGACCCTGACTTCCTTGAGGAGGAAGGAGAATGGGGGGGAAAAGTAATAATTAAAATGATATCTCTCATCATATATTGCCATTATAATGAACCTTTTAATGGTCTTTGGCTATTAAAGGAGGGATAGGTATCCTACGGCCTTCCAAATTTTACTGATTATATCTCCCAACATCATTCTCCATTGGTTATTGGGACATCTGGGACCTGAAATTTAGCACTTTCTAGATGCCACAACTTGCCCATCCCTATGAATCTAAAGAATTTGTGTCTGTGAGAAACAAATATTTTCTAAAGCACTTTTCATACTTGTGATAAATTTTGCTTTGAAAGCCACTCAAGATAAGGCGTCACTTGAACTGAATAGGCAGACAAAACAATCTTCTGAGTTAGACATAGCTATACATGCAGCCTAACTAATTAAACTTATATTCATAAATTAAAAATTATAAAATGGATGCATTTCTAGAAAGATCTGGACATGGCTCAAAGGTGGTAATTGCAAACCAGTAGCTAAAATCATTCCCATTGCTTTGTACTGAAGAGAATAATTATAGCAAAGGCACACAGCCTATAACCTTTCTTTTTCCTTCAACCTGTTTAGTAAGAATAGAAATGTTCCATAAATTTATTTAGCATTAATACTCTTTAAGCTTCAATGTTCTTTTTCAGCATTTTACTATACAGTAGGCATGCATAAATCTGACTTTATACAGGACAATGCAAAGCATTCAGAAGTGATGCTTCACAACGTCTATTAATGGAAGCAAAGCAACCCTATTGGATATGTTTAAATTTAAATGTTCTCTGAAGGTTTCAAAAGGCTGACTTGAACCATCATCTCATGGTTGCAAACAAAGACAACTCTTAAGTTACTGATAGAAAGGCCCTAATAACATTACTTTGAGATTCCTAGGAAGCTGGATAGAAGCTAAACATGTAATAAGTATTAAATATATTAACATTGTTGTTTAATTACGAAAAGTAAGTTTATTTTCTGCAGTTTGGAGAATGTTTGTGTTCCAGCAGAAACTACAGCTATGAAGGGATAGTCAATCCACCTTACATCCAGAGTCTTGGTCCTGAGTATAGCATCAATTTGGTTAAGTTGTAAAAGATAGTAACCCATCACATTCACTTTCAGCAAGTGTAGGATTACAAAAGAGAGCAATTTCCCCTCATATTATCTATAAAAACAAAGGGCCACACATTTCTTGTTCTTTTATTACAACAGAATAAAATTGGCTGGAAGGTTAAAACACATGGAGAAAGTATGTCAATCCTGCAGGACTTTCAAGACTTTAAAGTATATGTGCCATCAACGTATTTTTTGTACACCAGGCAAACTGCCTGGATTGGTCCCTGTAGTTTTCTTGGAAGGTTTTTCAAAAGTAGTTTGCCATTAATTGCTTATGAGGATAAGAGACAATGCCTGATTAAGATCACTCACCTGGCTTCCTGCCTAAGGTAGAACTAGACTTCAGTCTCCCAGTTTCTAGGTTAAACACTACTATATCGTCTCTCTGCTCGTTAAAGTGCCTACACCTTTTTCATTGCATTTTATAAGAATGAAATTAGGCTTATAGAAAAACTACATAACTATTAAGAGATGCACACAAAATTTAATAGATTTAATGCAGGGATTATCTACCACCATCTAATTTCCAATGTTATAAAATGCCAAAATGATTGCTTTGAGACAGAAGCAGTTAAATTTGCCGTGAAAATGGACTCCATGAGTGAAAGGAATATGTGCCAGATGTTAGGTAGATATATCAGTGGATGTAGGGGTGGTATAAAGTCAAAATTATGGTCACAAAGATATTTTGTTTTAATTCTGTAAAAGGATGATGGAAAATAAGAAGAATAAAAAACGTAAATAAAGAACTCTCTACCATTCAAAGAGCAAAATATGTTAGTGTAATCACTATGGTCATTTTGAATTGCGAATAGATCAGTATTTTATATTCATCCAAGACGTTCAATCATGCACACATAGACACTTTTCATCTATAGCACATTATAGTTGACTCTTGTGAATTTGGAAACAAGTTGATGGGATTATTATTCCTGCAATTAAGATCCACCATAGAACTTCTCAAAGACTTTTCATATTTACTATTAATTGAGGCTGAAACCTTTGGTACACTTCAGAACAAAATCCAGTGATATGAAGAATATTCAAGTGGTAGATAATGAATATACTTTTTAATACTTTTTATAAAGTACATTGATTAGGCCTTCAGCTGTAGGAAAAGTAGAACAGGTTTTTTTCCT